CTGATTTTTGTGTCATCTGCAAAGGATGATACGAAGCTGTGACTTGTATTTTTGTCTATATCTGATAAGAGAATAAGGAAAAGCAGCGGTGCAAGGACTGTACCCTGAGGTACAGAGCTTTTCACTGCACTTGGACTAGATTTTATATGGTTGACAGTTACTCGCTGAGTCCTGTTTGACAGAAAACTGAGTATCCAGCGTCCTACTTTACTGGTTATTCCCATTGACTTCATTTTGTGTACTATCACGCCATGGTCACATTTATCGAAAGCCTTTGCGAAGTCCGTGTATATCACATCAGCATTCTGTTTTTCTTCTAATGCCTCAGTGACTTTGTCATAGTGCTCAAGTAACTGTGAGAGGCACGATCTTCCCGCTCGAAATCCATGATGGCCTGAGTTGTGAAGGTCATTGGTCTCCATGAAATTGGTGACCTGACTCCTAATCACTCTCTCAAATATTTTTATGATGTGCGATGTTAGTGCAACTGGTCTATAATTTTTTGCCAATGCTTTGCTCCCTCCCTTGTGTAGAGGGGCTATGTCTGCTACTTTAAGTGCATCTGGTATCTCCCCCGTGTCCAAGCTCTTCCTCCACACTATACTGAGTGCCTGTGCTACCGGCACTTTGCATTTCTTTATAAATATTGAATTCCATGAGTCTGGACCTGGGGCCGAGTGCATGGGCATGTTTTCAATTTCTTTTTCAAAATTTAGTGCACTCGTGTTTATATCAGTTATATTTATAGGGGTTTGAATATCCCGCATAAAGAAATTGTCTGGATCTTCCACCTTCATGTTGTTTATTGGAGTGCTAAACATGGGTCTATGGGGCTTAAATGTAAGGGCAGCCCCGTGGTTGCCAAGGTGGTAAATCCCGAGGACACGAGCAACTTTCCCAGTGGTGAAAGTCAAGTGGACCTCGCGGACACGTTCATGGCCCGAATCGATGACGAGGCCGAGGCCACTGTGGAGAGCCTACAATAACCTCCTACCGAGAGTAGTGAGGAGGTGGAGGAGAACCCTGTTGAGACTCGGCCAATGGCATCTGACCCAGGCATGGATGCCTCCTTGAGTGAACTGCAGAAGGCTGATCCCATTCTTGCAGAATGTCACGATGTAGTTCTCTCTAAGGAGGACATTGTAGATGCAGCAACGTGATACTATTTCAAGGATCAGATTTTTATGAAAAAATGGAGACCACAGAGTTCTCCCTTGTCAAATGAGTGGGAGGTAGTACATCAGGTTATGTTACCTACCTGCTATAGAGAGAAAGTTTTGGCAGCTGCTCATGATGACCCTATGGGGGAATATCAAGGTATTAATATCACCTATCATAAAATCTTTAAATATTTCTACTGGCCCAAGCTGAAAAGCGATGTAGCAGAATTTTGTAACTCTTGAATCCCTTGTCAACTTGTTGGGAAACCAAACCAGACACCACTTAAAGCTCCTCTGAGGCCTATTGTCATGCCGGAGGAACCATTTTCTCATGTGGTAAAGGACTGTGTTGGTCCATTACCTGAAACTAAGTCTGGTAATATTTACCTAATCACGATGATGTGTATCACGACCCGTTACCCTGAGGCTTTTGCTGTAAGGAACATCTGAGCAAGGACTGTTGTTGCTCGTATTTTGCAATTTTTTTCTACTTTCAGGCTGGCTCGGGTCGTGCAAACCGATAATGGTACTAATTTTAAGTCTGATATTTTTTAACAATTCTGTAAGGACCATGGAATAACACATAAGGTTTCTAGCCCATACCATCCACAGAGTCAGGGGGTAATTGAGCGGTTCCATCAGACGTTAAAGCAGATGTTGAAGACATCGTGTGAGAATTCACATAGATTTTGGGATAAGAACCTGCCTTATGTTTTGTTTGCTGCTAGAGAGGGGGTTACAAAGTTCACTGGGTTTTTCTCCTTTTGAGTTAGTCTTTGGCCATAAGGTCCGTGGACCCTTGCAAATGTTACAGGAGAATCTGTTAGGTAACGTATCGTTGACCGAAGGTTCGGCTTTCTTTGCGCAACACCACCAGAGACTCAGTAACTGCAAGGCGACCGCACTCAAGTATCTTGGGAAGACCCAAGAGAGTAAGAGAGAACGACGCAATGCTAAGGCTAAGTTGCGGGTATTTCAGCCTGGTGACCCTGTCCTGGTATTAAAGCCTCGACTAGGGAACAATATGTCTCACGTACGAAGTCCCCTATATTGTGACAGAAAAGGTTGGGGACCTCACGTACAAAGTAAGGCACTCTGACAAGCGTAACCAGTTGATGCTTGTATACTTGAACCGTCTGAAGAAGTTCCAGGGCCTCAGGGCCGTCGCTCTAACCAATGTTTCCTTTTCCAGTGAGGGAGGGGATAATTGTTCTGGGGACCCAACTAATCTCATTCTCAATAATTTTAGTTCTGTGAATGCTGTGGAGGAGGGACTGTCCCATGTTCAGATGGCCCAACGTGAAGAGGTGCAGTCGCTACTTGACGACTTCTCCAGTCTGTTTGGGGAGGTCCCGTCCCAGACTGATGCCATGATGTCAAGTTGATGTACTACACCCCCATTCGTCTTCAACCCTATCGGATGAATCCGGAAAGAAGGCCATCATGCGACAAGAAGTAGACTTCCTGCTCCAGCACGGCCTCATCCGGCCGAGCCAGGGCTCTTGGTGCTCGCCCTGCATTTTGGTCCCCAAACCAGACGGCTCCTGGCGATTATGCACTGACTATCAGCAGCTCAACAAGGTCACCATCGTGGATGCCTACCCGCTGCCCCTCCTAGAAGACTGCATCGACGAGATCGGAAACGCCACCTACGTTTCGAAATTCGATCTCTCGATGGGGATACTATCAGATCCCACTTACTGAACGTGCCAAGTAACTAACTGCGTTCGTAACCACCGATGGAGTCTTCGAGTATCAAGTGTTATCGTTCGGATTGCGTAATGCCCTTGCAACGTTCCAGAGGCTAATGAACTCTCTGCTCGCAAAAGTGCCAAATTGTCGGGCGTATTATGTGACATTGTGCTTTTTGATTGAGATTGGGCTGAGCACATAGCTAGGTTACACCAGTTATTCACAGTTTTGAAAAGTGCAAATCTAACTTTAAATGCAAAAAAGTGTCATTTTGGCCAACGCACAGTGACGTATCTCAGTTATGAAGTGGGCCAAGAAAAAGTGTTACCTCGGCAAGATAAAATCAGTGCCATTCTGGAGTATCCAGTGCTCCTGTCTAAAAAAGAAACCAGGACATTCTCAAGCATAACCTGGCGGTTCATGATTGGATGAATGTTTGGTATGTAGTGCCTCGGCTATATCCAATTTCCTATTGTTGTATCTGTTGATTATTTCGATGTTCTTGGTCAATCTATCTCTGGTTATGGTCTGGCTGTGTGGAGAAATGTAATCCTCGATTGAGCATTACCATATGTATATTGCCAGGCGCCTTAACTATATACTAATATCGATGGAGCTGACAGTCCCCACGTAATGGTACAGACGACATTCGTTTTTTGTAAGTCATTTTGTTTGGCATTGGGAGATTTTTATGGGGAAGTTGGTGGTCTTCTTACTCTTGTAGTATATGGTATGCTACATTTTTTGTTTAGTGGTGGTAAGCATTACGTTCTTGTCGACTGTGCCTCTCAAGTCTCTTTCCTCTATCTTGTGGATGGTCAAAAACAGTTTTTCTCTCTGTGACTCTACTCTATAATGTGTCTTCGCTCTGTAATGTCTGTCTCTGATCCGTAATGTCTGTCGCTGCTTTGTTTTGTCTGTATGCTCTATAACAGGTCTCTGCTCTATAACGTCTGTCTCTGCTCTATAACGTTTGTCTCTGCTCAATAATGTCCATCTCTATTCTATAGTGTCCATCTCTACTCTATAATATTTGTCTGTTTTATATTGTATGTCTGCTCTATATTGTCTGTCTCTGCTTTATATTGCCTGTCTTTTCTCTGTAATATATCTTTCTATTATATAATATATCTGCTCAATATTGTCTCTCTCTTTTCTTTAAAGTCTCTCTCTCTCTCTCTCTCTCTCTCTCTCTCTCTCTCTCTCTCTCTCTCTCTCTCTCTCTCTCTCTCTCTCTCTCTCTCTCTCTCTCTCTCTCTCTCTCTCTCTCTCTCTCTCTCTCTCTCTCTCTCTCTCTCTCTCTCTCTCTCTCTCTCTCTCTCTCTCTCTCTCTCTCTCTCTCTCTCTCTCTCTCTCTCTCTCTCTCTCTCTCTCTCTCTCTCTCTCTCTCTCTCTCTCTCTCTCTCTCTCTCTGTCTCTCTCTCTCTCTCTCTCTCTCTCTCTCTCTCTCTCTCTCTCTCTCTCTCTCTCTCTCTCTCTCTCTCTCTCTCTCTCTCTCTCTCTCTCTCTCTCTCTCTCTCTCTCTCTCTCTCTCTCTCTCTCTCTCTCTCTCTCTCTCTCTCTCTCTCTCTCTCTCTCTCTCTCTCTCTCTCTCTCTCTCTCTCTCTCTCTCTCTCTCTCTCTCTCTCTCTCTCTCTCTCTCTCTCTCTCTCTCTCTCTCTCTCTCTCTCTCTCTCTCTCTCTCTCTCTCTCTCTCTCTCTCTCTCTCTCTCTCTCTCTCTCTCTCTCTCTCTCTCTCTCTCTCTCTCTCTCTCTCTCTCTCTCTCTCTCTCTCTCTCTCTCTCTCTCTCTCTCTCTCTCTCTCTCTCTCTCTCTCTCTCTCTCTCTCTCTCTCTCTCTCTCTCTCTCTCTCTCTCTCTCTCTCTCTCTCTCTCTCTCTCTCTCTCTCTCTCTCTCTCTCTCTCTCTCTCTCTCTCTCTCTCTCTCTCTCTCTCTCTCTCTCTCTCTCTCTCTCTCTCTCTCTCTCTCTCTCTCTCTCTCTCTCTCTCTCTCTCTCTCTCTCTCTACAACGCCAATCTAGTCGACACACAAGTTTCAAATCCCACACAGAAAGTGCTATGAAGCGAGCAAAGAGTAGACATTGACCCGGGGAGTGATATCTCAGATATAATAACTAGACACGTAACATATCTGTGTAGACAGGAGACAGTAGTAGCAGGTTGTCTGACTCAGTCGTAGATAAAAACACTGTGCCAAAGATTATTTCGTCATTGCAGGGCAGGATTGCGTGGAAGTCAGATGTGTAGTATGGTGCTCGTGGATAGTACGGCCTGGTTAGCGGTGATTGTTGTGCTGAGCGCGAGGAGCTGCTCATGTCTTCACGCACAGGACTGGCATATTAAATCAGGTATTTTGCTGTTCTATGCTTCCGAATTTAATGATAATATTATAATAATTATTATTAGTAATAAAATTATTACAGTAGGCGTGATAGGAAAGAGAAGGCAGAAGTAGAGAGAGATGGTTAAGGATTTTTAATTTTGTCGTAGACAGGACAGGCTGAGCCATGCGTTGCTGTGCCTCAGCAACCCTCGTCCTTCCCCCTGTTCTACCTACCATTCCCCCCCCCCTTTCCCCGTCCCCTCATCCTTCCAACCATTCCCCCTCCCCCCTTCTCCTTGTCCACCCCCATCATTCCCCTCCCTGCCCCTTGGTTCCCCACCCCCCATCCCCTTGTCTTCCCAACCATCCCCTACTTCCCCGTCCCCTCGTCCTCCCCACCATTCCCTCCTCTCCGTCCCCTTGTCCTCCCCACTTTCCCCCACTCCCCCGTCCCCTCATTCTTCCGACCATTCCCCACTCCCCTCGTCCTCCACACCATCCCCCACTTCCCCGTTCCCTCTTCCTCTCCACCATCCTCCCTCCCCCGTCCCCTCGTCCTCCCCGCCATTCCCCACTGCCCTGTCTGATGCATTCCCAAATGATCTAACGATCCCGTCACTGATAAAAAAAGGAAGAACAGTTAAAAAAACGAAATGAAAAACAATGAAAAAAATAACAAAATAAACTATACTCACAAATTGAATGGTATGGTAAATGACACAGCTCAATTTCAATGCAATGTCACACGAAACAGTTAAATCAAAATGAAAAAAAATAAAAATCTACAGAAAATCCAATTTAATTACCAATGCAATTGGAAGCATTGAAATTGAATCGTAAAATATTTAGATCTGATAAAACGTTATAAAAGCTTATGTTGCTTTTACGTCACACAGATGGCACTGTTTTTAAAAATAACATGGTTTGACCTGTCACAGGTGTGGCACGTATATAGTAGGTACATAAAAAGCCGCGCGTATTCGAATGCAACGTTGCGTCAAAATTTCATAGAAATCAGTGAAGAGGTTTTGGAGATTTCCCTCACATGAAAAACACAGTGTTTCAAAAAAACATGTTTTTACCTGTCACAGATGTGACATCTATATAGTAGGTATATAAATACACGCTCGTATTCAAATGGATGATTGCGTCAAAATTTCTAAGCAATCGGTGAAAAACTTTCGGAGATAAGCAATGTTGAAAACAAATATTTACCATTATATATATATATATATATATATATATATATATATATATATATATATATATATATATATATATATATATATAATGGTGGTACCCTCACAAATTTAATAAAAAAAAAAATAATAATATATATATATATATATATATATATATATATATATATATATATATATATTATATATATATATATATATATATATATATATATATATATAAAAGCTTATATATATATATATATATATATATATATATATATATATATATATATATATATATATATATATATGGAAGAGAGAGTGGATACAGGCCAGCACCAAAGAACCTGACCAACCCATCTCTAGAGAAAGGATTACATTAATTACATTACAAAAATAATACATTAAATTATATATACATATTGGTATCAACTTCATTGCATAAGTTTATATATCTTAACGTTAAATAAATATTCTTTGGTAATCCTTTATGCTGACTGTGGGTGAGTATGACTCCCAGAGAAGGATGAACAATACTATTATGGTCTGCGTGTTGTAATACAACTCGCTGATTAAACCTCAGACTGCACATCGCCCTTAAGTGGTGTGTCCGCCGGCATGTTATCAGCCCCATGATCTCGTCCCAAGATACAGATACGCTCAAGGACTGGCCCAGGACTTGAGACGAACTTTTATACTGTTCTCACATTTCGTCCCACTTTACAACTGTAATATATATATTACGGACCTTAATATTAATGTGGGCTCAGCTTGAGCCTTAAATAATTCGGGTTTTAAATTTTTAAGCGATAATGGCAGATATTTCTTATAATCAATACATTAAATCACACAAAAGGTATGTTGTCACAAATCTGAACACTAAAATCCAAACATATAAACAATGAGAAATATAGCTGTAGTTGAAGATAAATGAGATGAAAAGTTCAGTAATAATAATAATTTTTTATTATTTTTAATTATTATAATAATAATAATAATAATAATAATAATAATAATGATACTAATAATAATAATAATATTAATAATAGACAAAAAGTAATCACACTAATGTGATGTACCAATGCAAAAATCCATAGGAGCTGTGATGAGGATTCGAACCTATGTGCTGGGTGTTCCCATGCACTCAGAAATCTCGGGAAACCCTCGTATGTTCGGTAGAACAGAAGGTTGCAATACTTTTGACCATGTTGTGGCCTGGTTGTCGGGAAGGGGGGGGGGTATGTGCTTGGGAATACCCACTGCATAGGCTCGAATCCTCATCACGGCTCTTACGGATTTTCTATATAATAATAATAATAATAATAATAATAATAATAATAATAATAATAATAATAATAATAATAATAATAATAATAATAATTTTATTTACAAAATATACGTTAGAACACGGTACAATGGTAGAATATTTGTTACATAAAAACATATTTAATGAAGCAGTTCGCAAACCGTTTTGGGCATAACTTGAAAAGTACAACTGGTGAACAATGATGAGCAAACAACACATCAGAAAATGAAGTAATGATGACGTTTTGGTCTGTCCTGGACCTTTATCAAGTCGTGTTATGATAATGGTCCGGGACAGAATGAAACGTCGACGTTTCTTACTTTTCTGGTGTGTAGTTTGATCATCCTAATCTTCAGGCACGTGAGTGTGACTCATCGCCTGCATATGGTGAGTAATGTGTTAACATCAATTGCTAAACTAGAATGACTAGTACAAATTTAAAACTACAAGGAGTGAAGCAACACTGAAAATGCAGACTTGAAAGAAAAAAACTGGGTGCTATTTTCGTGTAATAGGACGTTATGAGGGGGATAAGATACAGATCAGGCGGTGACACAAGTGAGTCAGTGTGGGCTAGGCAAATAGACAAATTATGTGTTTCAAGATTCATTCTAATAATTTCCATAACTAATATCAAGCATAAGAATAAAGGAAATTATAGAAAGCATTTTGGCACATTAAAGGCTATTCCTAACTCTCACATATATTGTCTAACCTACGCTTGAAACAATGCAACGATCTCACGTTAATTGTGTTACCTGGTAAGGTGGTTGATAAATTTACATAACTTTTTCTTAACCATTTCCAATATCACCTTCGCCAAGCCCTTCATTCATTTGTAGACTTATGTCCCTCAAGAGAATGTAGATTAAGGTTTTTAATATATTTTTCATATTTAAGTTTCACAGTGTTTGGGATTAACATTTTTATCCTTCATTGCAGGCTTTTTAGAGATATAAATTACATTCAATGTATAGTACGGTGCACAATATTGACCTGCATAATGTAAATGTGGCTTAAAGTAAAGGTAAAGGTAAGGTAAATAAAGAAGAGGCAAAGTAATTTTTTATTTTTTTTTGCCCTTTAACCATTTTTGAGCTTTCTCAGATTTGTTGGCTTAAGATCTAACGTTAACATGAAGACCCAGATATTTTTCGTATTCGTATTTGGTTATTTAAACATCGAAGAGCGGATATCTATTTTCGTTTTCTAGGTATAGAACCTACATTTGTCAGCATCTGCCAATTTTCACCACATCTTTCAAAATAAAATAATTTGAGTCATCTAATAGCGTTTAATCCTGTATGTGTATTGTTTATATATATAGTAAAGAGTTCCCCGGACAGAGCCTTGATGCACCGCTTACTTTACCACTCGGACTTCAACCCATTCATGCTTACTCTGTTTCATTTGAGATAACAATGCTATAATCTTTCCTAATATTATCTAACTGAAGATATGGAGAGAGTGATAATATATTAATAAATTAATTGGTATATTTTCGTGGCTATTTGCTGCATTATACAGCCTACATCATACATCTGTTCTCTCCACCACTAAGGTTACGTAAGCTCTGTAGGTTTATATTTAGATACAGAGGCTTCCAGGGTGGCCACCACACCAAAACAAACCTCTGGGTCAACAGAATATGACTTAACATGGCGTAATTCTTGATTCTTAACTTAGAATTTAATCATATAAATAGCATGCTCAATCATCCTTAAATCACTATTATCTTAATCCTACAATCTAATTTGATTTCAAACTAACCATTTACAGCTGTAATATTAACCCTAAAATACATGATCCAGTACATGCCCCCATTCAGCTGGAGGGAAGAGGCACGGAGGCCCATGCCTCAATGAGTCTGTCACATACTCGCTCACAGTGAAGACCTCTTAATGTGTGGTCTATTATTTGTGTTATAAACTGTGAAATCAGCTTTAACCACTACAAACTATCGAAATTAGTGTATAATATTCATATGTCTAAATGAAGAACTTGAATTAGAGTGTATAAATATCTAAGAGGTACTCTCGTTCCTAATCACTTTGCGACGGACAGTGTGAACAAACACGCCATGCCATGACCGTGTACCAGAACTAATTTAATTGAGTTGTCTACAATCCCTGCAAAGCAGAATTATCTTCTACACTTCAAAATATCATGCCTTATCTCATCAAGAGAGATATTAAGTCTGGCAACGGTCAAGCAGGCCCTGGTATTCAATTGGTTAAATTATTAAGTGTTTATAGGATGTTTAATTGACTAATTTGCATGATTCTAAACCTTCATCTTTCCATAAAATGTTAGCCGTTAAGACGTGGGAAAAGCCCCAGTAAAATAGTAAGTGACAATAACTCGTCATAGTAATCTATTATTCATATCCATATATATTCATATAAATAATATCAATCTTACTATAAATAAATCATATATAAATAACCAATTAATCACTAGCACACCTATCATTCAAGTAATAATATGTACCAGATAACTAATTCATCCTCACCAACATCAGGCTGATGATGGTAATGAAATATCTAGTAACTATCACTGTTACAGTTACATCAGTTAATCATAGTTATATACAATAACTATTAATGAGCTACGCTAGAGATGTTCAACAAAATCAAGTAGACTTTATGAACCAGTCCATTAGCAGTAAGTATTACTATTGCATTTAATCAATTATCTGTACTAACGTGGAGAAATACCAATAGGTACATGCAGTTTCTTCAATCATTAACTTAGTGTTGAGAAATATTACTCATCAAGAAATAATATTACCTGATCCTACAGTTCACTATTTTCTCCCAGAAAACAGGGAAATACTTGGCTGGACTACAGTGCCAGCTAAGGCTTTTTAATATTCTTGTAGTGCATGCTAATAACAGTTTTTAATTTTTTAATTTATGGTCACACACAATTGTGGTAATATCTTAACGAATCCCAGGGAGTTTTACCACAACAGCATCAAAGACTTTGCTAAAGTTAAAGTACATAATGTCACAATCTTTTCCTCTAACGAGTACTTCAACTGTGCTGGAAATAAATGAAAGTCAATTTTATACACACAAGCAGCTCGTAGTAATTCCTTGATTCGAAACCTTTATTAATCCGGGCTTTTCAAGATGTGATAGAATGTCGTTTGTGATTATCAATTCAAGCAATTTTCACGCATTCATGCAAGAGCTAATTGATGGGTCATTAGCTTTGAAAAAGACAAAATAAAAAAAATCAGAAAGCAACTGATATCAATTCCTCTGGTTAGTCATTTACTGTCATCTTCTCCAAGCAAATTGCCATATATAACAGGGACTCTTTTTGCTGTTCTAATTAGCTCAATGGCTGTCCTATATTTTGCAAGAGGAAATGATAAATAAATGTTCAGAACGCATGACCCATACGAGATATTTGTTTATATCTATCCATATCATACATACAATTTGCAGTCGATACTTGAACATTTCCAGATATGTTACTTGGTAGTTTGTTTCTCAGATCTGCAGTCCTATTATACGAGCCGGTGTTTACGTATTCCTTACTTTATAATGGTTTTGTATATAAAGTGTAGCCATTGAACTCGATAATGGGTCACGACTTTATATGTGTTCATGGTCAGTAAAAATTAAAAACGAATGGGTGATTCAAGCCCATTTTATAACAAATCTATGAGCATATTTGAACTTTCTTCACGGAAAAATTACTACGCACAGATAACCTATCGGTTGCTATGAGCTTCATCAACACTGGACATCGCCATGACTGAAACTGAGCAAAATGTTTGAAATACTGTATCAAAAATATAATTTGATTACTTCATTTGTGAGGATTTTAACGAAGGGGCGGGGTGGGGGGGGGGGTTGTACTGAAGCGTCGTAATGGTCCGATAATAACACCTTGATAAACCAGTAATATTATCTCGTTTATGCATTTAGATTGAGAGGGTCAATTTATAAGTTATGCTCTGAGCCACAGCAAAAAAAGCATTTCTGTTAATTGTCAAAAGATCAGTTTCTTGTTTTTTTCTCAGTTATGGCAGGCTTCGATGTAGTTGGTAATGCATTACAGACTTTTTGTATAGCGACATTATGGGTGATTTTGACTGTATAAGACATTAAAATGTAAGTTCCAGAGTGTTTCTCTTGAGGTACTGCATGGTTTTGGTCTTATTAATGTAGATAAAACACGATTTTTATTGAAATTTTTTTAATGTCATTATTTATTCTATGTCATTTATTAAAATTACTGACCCTTTATCCAACAGCAAGAGAGTGGCTGTCTGTCAAGAAGTCCACATGGTGGCCACTGTACATGCCGAGTGGCCTGGACGAGACGAGCTCGTGCAGCCAGTCCATTACGGCCATGAGACACTCTCTGGAACTCAACGAGACATGGGCTCTCAAAAGTGAGCACACTCTGCGGCAAACTTTCTTTCTAAGCACCCCTTAAGAGAAGAAGGCAAACCATTTTGTTAAACCCCTCGTTAAAACATTTATGTGATAACGTTCTTAAGGTCACGTGAGAACATCTTTTTTGATAACCCCTCTTAGGTTATTTGTAAGCCCCTCTTAGAACACTTTTAAGATACTATTCTCCTTGTACTCATTTAAATACACTCTAAGTGGGATGTTCTCTATTTATGTCACCTCTTATTCATATACAATATTTTAGGAGATATTGCTGTCACAAGCACTGGGAACCTGCAACAATGAGTAAACGCTGATACAATTTCGTTTAATCAAGCATATATGGAATTTCTGATTTGGGAACAGGGTTGTGGATAGGTGGAATACGATATCAGCTAGAATTATTGCGACATAAGTTTCAACATATTCAAGAAGAGACTGGATAAGAACATGAAGCAGGGTGAGACGGAGGGAATTTCAACGGGATGTGCCTCATATGTACCAATTCGCCTACTCCGGTATTCCCTAATTCGTATGTCTTACCACTCTCTTGAATTGGTGTGTAGTGATGGATTCGTGGGGCAAGTCTGTTGACGGCATCCTGTACGGCACTAGGGCTACCGTCGGAGTGTTCGATGAATGCGTCTCTGCCAAGTCGCCTGATAAGAGCATTCATGGAAAATATTGCTTAATATCACTGAGGTAAGACGCATGGGGTTGACTGAATATATTGCTGTTCAATACATATTATCTGGTTAAGAGTAATAGTAATATTACACATATTAAATTATATTTTGTTTACATGATTTACTACTGAAATAGGGACAGCCAGTATTATATGATTAATTAAATATACTTGACTGATGCCCAATGAGTTCCTCCATGGATTCCTTTAAAACTATGCAGAATATTTCATTAGGGCAAGCCCTGCCGGGAGACTTCTTCGGTTTTAACTGGAGAAATTCGTTTATATGTAATTAGCTTTTTTAACATATCTAGTTCTTTCAGTACTTCTTCATCCACATCCCCCGCTATTCCGGAACGAGCCTCGTTGCAAGTAATTATCAAAAGAAGGTACCAAACTGGGAAGACTGTGTAACAAAAAACACGTTGCAAATCTCTGAACTTTTTCTAGATTTCTTATGTCTTTTTGTAATACGAGGACTCCACGATGGAATGGTCATATTCTAAGACTGGTCTCACGAAGGCAGTGTACAGTGATTTAAATGCCTTCTTATTTAGGTTCATGAAAATGTTCTGACTTCTGTAATTTTAGAGTATGCTCCTGCCAATGAAGAATATGCTGTTATCCTACTAATATGTGCCTCCGGAGTTAGGTATGATATTATATCCACTCCCAGGTCTTTTTCTCGAGTCGTTACACGGAGGTAGCTTGCATTTATTGTGTACCGTCATTCAGGTGTATATGAGCTTGTGCTACGTATATTAATATATATTAGAACACAGGAATATTTATTTTAAATATATTTTATTTTAGTAAAGAGGCAGTTTCGGTTAAATTAGACACGAAAGACCACAACAACTGGATAGGACAAAATCTATATATGGTGCCTTTTGTGCTTGACTTCAATTGGCAGCTAAATGGAAGTGGTTTCAAGTATGCTACCTGCATGCCTGATGCCTGCAGCAAGGAGGAGCTACAGGTATGTGTACATTTTCTGGTTAAAATTTGTATATATTTTCTTTTGTACATGGAAGATATCTCATAAAAGTGATGATTTTAGAATTCTAGTATATATATATATCATTGTGGCCAAAGATAAGATCAGCTATGATCAGATATGATCTTTGCAAAACTCAGCTTTTGTAATTAGTAAATCACATATTTTACTTTTTTGCATATCTTAAAAAGGGTCAACTTACAGTATAATGTATAAATATTTCCTCTCGTGCACTGAATGTTTATATAAATTATTATTTATAATTATTTTTATAAATCTATATAAATAAAAATATAAATGTTCGTTTGTTCAAAATCGCTAATCTCCGAAAGTTCTCCACCGATTGTTTTGAAATTTTCAAACAACATTCCATTCGCATCCGAGAGGGTTTATATATATATATATATATATATATATATATATATATATATATATATATATATATATATATATATATATATATATATATGCTATATAGATGTCACGTCTGTGATGGGAATGTTTTTTTAAACTGTGTTTTTCTTGTGAGGGAAATCTTCGAAACCGCTTTAACGATTGCTTTGAAATTTTGACACAACGTTGCATTCGAATAGGCGCGTATTTTTATATACCTACTACATACATACCTCACCTGTGACAGGAAAAAACATGCTTTTTTTTTTTTAAAGGTCACCATCTATTGGACGTAAGACTACACTCTGTAGTCTCTGAAAGTTGTTCACAGATTGCTTTGAAATTTTGACACAACGTTCAGTTCAAATACTCGCGTTTTTATTTACCTACTATATAGATGCCACACCTGTGACAGGTAAAAACATGTTTTTTTTTAATAACAGCACCATCTGTTGCACGTAATAGCAAGACATGCTTTACTAAATATGTTATGATTCCATTTCAATATTTCTGATTGCATTGATAAATAGAATTTTCATAGATTTCAATTTATTTTTATTTTTGTTTAATTATTTTGTGTGACATTGTGTTGGAATTGAGCTGTGTTGTTTACCATATCATTCATTTTGTAAGTATAACTATAGATGCCACACCTGTGACAGGTAAAACCCTCTCTGTTTTTAAGAAACAGTGCCCTCTGTTGCACGTAAGAGCAACACACACTATACTAAATAGGTTGTGATTCCATTTCATTGTTTCTGATTGCATTGATAAAATTAATTTTCATAGATTTTGATTTACTTTCCTTATTATTTAATTATTTTGTGTGACATTACATTGGAAATTATCTGTGATGTTTACCATACCGTTCATTTCGTAAGTATAAGTATAGATTCAACACCTGTGACAGGTAAAATAAAAAAAATTAAGAAACAGGACCATCTGTTGCACGTAAGAGCAACACACGCTATACTATATATGTTATGATTCTATTTCAGTGTTTTCAATTGCATTGATAAATTGAATTTTCATAGATTTCGATTTATTTTCATTTTGATTTAATTATTTTGTGTGACATTGGGTTGGAATTGAGCTGTATTGTTTACCATACCATTCATTTCGTGAGTATAAGTATAGACGCCACGCCTGTGTCCTCCCCACCTGGGGGATGGTGGGGGAGGACAAAGGGACGTGGGAGAGGGGGGAGGGGAATGGTGGGGAGGACAAAGGGATGCTGAAGTTGGGAATAATTGGGAGGACGTGGGGACGTGGGAGTGAGGAATGGTTGGGAGGATGAGGGGACGGGGGAATGGGGGGAATGGTAAGGAGGACTAGGAGAGAGGGAAAGGAAGGTTGCTGTGGCTCAGCAACGCGTGGCCGAATACAGCTAGTAAAAAAATTATTTAAAATTGTAGCATTTCTGCTACAGAAACCCGAGCTTAGATCAGTCAACTAGTTTTTTCCTTAATATTTCTCATAATTATAAAACTTGTAAATTTGATTTAGTTCCCATATTCACACAATCTTTGTTTTGTATAATAATTTAAAAAAAATATATATAGAAAATTACCACATCAGTTTGTTGTGGTAACACCTCATTCCACGATTCACCTAACCCCCTTATTCGTAGAGTGCGGCAAAGGGTAGGATGAGGTGATTGTTACCTAACTTCTATCTGTCCGCCAATGTAGGTTTTACATTTTCCCTCTGGATCATGGAGAACCATCGAACAGTTGTATGCTCGAAGCCGAAGTCATCTGGATGTTGATTACTGGTGATTAATGACATGCGTAGTAGAGAAAACCTTAAGAAATTAGAATTTTGCAAAATAAATATTCCATAAGACACAGCCAATTGTCTAGTCCTTTGTTCATTTGTCAGAAAGTTCTCACCAAATTGATTGGGAGAGGGCTACTTCAATAACGAATTGTGAAAGCATTTTCAATATAAACATTATTGAATGTACTTTAATACAGATTACTAAATCATTTATTTTGAATATTAGTAGTGGTTTGTATAACTTAAATCAAATTTTGATTGATCGATCTGTTGAAGCCATTTCACCAGATCAATGGGAGATTTGAGTGGGATCATTGAAACTCGTTTATCTCAATAATACCTTATTAATTGTTAATTATTATGTTATTATGTGTATTAGTTGTATGTGTCTAATACCATAGACATTGTTTCTTATTTCACCTCATTCCTGCCTATATATATATTGTCCTGGCTATATATTATTCCTGCCAATATATATTGTCCTAGGTTCATATCCTGGCTGGGGGAGGATTTACTGGGCGCCAATCCTTAACTGTAGCCTCTGTTTAAGACAACAGTAAAATGGGTGCCTGGTTGCTAAACGATTTGGCAGGGTCGTATTCCGGGGAACATAGGATGAAGGACTTGCCCGAAAAGCTATGAGAGCTGGTGGCTGTAAAAAAAATGTAAGAACTCTTGTATATATATATATATATATATATAAAATAAAAATATAGTGTGATGGAAAAAAGAAGTGTAGGTGTTCGGCAGTCCTCCTAATGGCTGGTGTCAATGCCTATCACATTTACAAAAAAAAAAAGTTGACTGCTTGGCTGTTGTCTTCTGTGGTAAAGTAAAGGAAAACACGCAAAACTAATAGTATGAACATTGAAACTTTAATTAACTTGAAAATATGAACAAAGACAACCCCTTGGCTATGTACAGTGCAAACAAACAAGATTATATAGTCAAAAAATAACATAAAATAAAACAGTGGTGACGTTACTCTAAAATGAATGAAGACAAGAAATGAATTAACAGGTGCTGAGAATAAAGTGCTGGCTGAGAACATCCACTTATAAACAGAGCGTATATCAGATGGTTGTATCAGCTTTGAGAGCACAGGATATTCTAAATCCAATGGCTTGTGCAGGCTCAGTCATCGGCTATGTAGATGGCGCTGAAGTGCAGAGGTGCAGATGTCGATTCCCCAATCAGAAGCGGCTGGCTGGAAGTGGTGGTTTGGTGATCGAAGAAGGTGGAGAGCGAGTGTCTGATACGTATGCGCTTGGCAGAAACGTATTTTACTCAATACGTACTACACTTGTTTGTAGTATCTAGATGTTGTAGATGTACTGAAGTAACATGATGATAGGAAAGAGCAGGCCAAATCTCTCTTGAAGGAGATTATCGTAACAGCTCTCCCCCGAAGCCTGCTCTTACGGGTTAAGTTACTTCAGTGTCTGGTGTAGAGGTAGGAGTAGCTGTCTCTACCTCGTAGACTCTGGAGAGGGCGTCGGCTATGATGTTGTTCGAACCTTTGATGTAGAAGATCTCCAGATTAAAATTCTGCAAGTACAGAACCCAGCGTAGAAGACGTTGATTGCTGAATTGGGCCTGTTGTAGGAACCTTAGGGGATTGTGGTCCGAGTAGATGGTAATAGACCGACTTCCCTGTAGGTAAGGTTCGAAATGTTGCAGATTCAGGACGATGGAGTTTCTTTTCTATAGTGCTGTAGTTCTTTTGATGGGGCTACAACTTGTAGCTGTAGTAGCTGACAGGAAGAACCTCCTCGCCTCGTTGTTGCATTAGGACGCCCCCGATGCCGGTACCACTGGCGTCGACATTGATGATGAAGGGCTTCGTAATATCTGGAGAGGCGAGAATGGGATCAGAACATAGCAGAGATTTAAGTTGTTCAAAGGCAACGGTCTGTTGATTTTTTTTTTTTTTTGATATGTACAAGAGTTGTTACATTCTTGTACAGCCACTAGTACGCGTAGCGTTTCGGGCAGGTCCCTGGAATACGATCCCCTGCCGCGAAGAATCGTTTTTCATCCAAGTACACATTTTACTGTTGCGTTAAACAGAGGCTACAGTTAAGGAATTGCGCCCAGTAAATCCTCCCCGGCCAGGATACGAACCCATGACAGCGCTCGCGGAACGCCAAGGCGAGTGTCTTACCACTACACCACGGAGACTGTAATGATGGTCCAATGATACCGTTGCTTGGGGCTGGTCAGATTAATCAATGGTGTCGCTACCGTACTAAAATTCTTCACAAACCTACGATAGTAAGATGCAAGTCTAAGGAAGCGCAGGAGTTGCTTCCTGGTCGTTGGTTGTGGGTAATGCTGAATGGCTTTGGTGTGAATTGTTACAACAATACAACAATACAATTTTACAATACAATTTTATTTAGGTAAGGTACATACATACAATAAATATTTACAAGGATTGTTTGACTTATAGGTAGAGCTAGTACATACAATGCCTAAAGCCACTATTACGCAAAGCGTTTCGGGCATAAAGGATTTTTGTTAAAGGAGCTATGCTGCCACTCCCTATCACATGACCCAGATAACGCACTTTACCTTTGGCAAAGATGGACTTGCCCAAGTTGATGGTAAGGCCGGTTGACGTAGTAGATGACGCGGTTGACAGCTCGCTGGAAGGTGGCCGGGGCGTTACACAGTCCACAAGGAAGGCGTTCATATCTGTTTAGGCCAAAAGGAGTGGTGAAGGCAGATATTTCCTTAGCTCTTTGTCAGGCTGATTTGGTAATAGCCCTTTAACAAATCAATTTGGGATAAATAATTGGCATTACCTA